TTTAATAATTTAATAAAGAACATAATTTTTCAAGATACTGTTTCAAAAACACTGAAACAAACACGTTTTTTAGTAACGTCTGCTTAAATATTTGTTTCTTCATTATTTATCTCCTTTTCAAAGCGACCATTTGAAAGAGCTTGTTTAAGTCAACTTTTCCCTTCTGGTCCTTCTACTGCAACTGATTGGTTAGAAGGAGTAAGACTTAAGAGAGCACTCTTCATAGATTTATTGTTGTCAACTTTTACTGATATATTCAAGACAATTCCTTCATAGAAAAAGTTCTTCTGACAGCTTACAGGCCTTTAAAATCCTTCAACTAATTGTATTTTGGTCAAATATATTTTCCTGAAATCCAGCTGTTAACAAATTTTTGCTGTTGAATGCAAGTAGGATTCATAAACGAATCTAATAAACAACTAGAAAGTAGATTATTGTCTATATTGCTTTGTTTTTAAAACTTTGTTCACTTATCGTCTGATTGATTTTTTAGAGTTATCACCGTTTAAAAAAGAACTACGTTAAAGAAGAAAATTTAGCAGAATAAGCAGATTAAGGAAGAAGAAGAATATTGAGAGACCAGTACATTGTCGACAATAAGCAAAGCTTAGAAAGCAGGATTGAAGTGAAAGATTTTTGAAATGTCACAACTCACTTTTGAAACCATTTCACTTAACAAACTGGCAATTTTTTGCGCCGCGACTTTCCGTCCATTTTAAAACCTCATCAGTATACAACGAACGATACGAAGTTTTATACCGAAATGAAAACAGTTATTTTTCAAAAGCAACTTGCATAAGCACATCAAAGAAGTCACTGTAGAAATAATTCTTATACATGTATCATCTTAATTTTTAGCCAAATTTATCCCACATTTTGCAACACTGCTAAAGTCAATCGTCAGAGCACTGAATCTGTCCTTCAAAATAAAGCTGTTTCCGCGTACAAGAAAAAAAGAAATTTCCATGACCAATTTTTTCCAACGTAGGCGAAGGGCTCCAGTTTTTAACGCAGAAAAGTGCAAATGGTAAGTAAATCTTCATTACTTACAAGACATGTTCAAATTTCTGAAACAGCGCTTTCGAGAGTTCTTATTAAAAAAGTTCAGAATAAAGCATCTTTATCAGCCTCCTTCTTCCTAACTGTGCATATTTACTGAGAACCCTGTCAATGTAGAGCCTGAAATTTGTTGCCGTTTTCTTCAACGAGATCAGAATAGTACAACCAAAGATGCTGTTATTTACTTTCCAGTTCAAACTGTAGCAAGAAATTATTACTGAAAAAAGACTAAATGCTAAATGACGGGTGAAAAGCCAAGAAAGAGAGCCACCTCGTTGACCAGATAAAACCCTCTTGATTATCCTGTTTTTTCCATATAGCTTCAATAAATTAACAAGCTGGGGAAAACAAAGAACCAAATATTTAAAGAAACTCATATTAAAAGCGTCACACAGTTACATTTTTAAGAGGTAAAAAGTGTCAAACCTGTAGCCTGCAGAATTTATTGGTAATTTTTAGACCACAGCAGAGGTGACTTCGTGAACTTTTTGGTCCTCATTACCATTAAACAGCAGTGCAGTTGTTTCGTGCATCGTTTGTTTATGTCAAGCACTAGAAGCAGACCAAAAATCTTTACTTTTTAGACTCGTTTCTCCAAAACCTCCCCCTTCTTGATTTTTCTTTCTCTTCTTCAAGACAAATCAAAATCTGGTTTCTACGGCACCCGAAGCCAATTAGTCGGGCTACTAGTGTTCAAAAATGCTAGTCACTAAGAGTCAAAAACTTGTATGCTTTGCGAATTTTCACTTCTAGTAGTTTTAAACTTATATAAAATTCCAACTGATAACTCCATACAATCATGATATTTTCAAATCAAGGCTCATAAAACTTGAAAAACCAAAAATTTAATGAGCTGCAGTGCGCGCAAACGAATACATAAACAAGAGTCCTTTTATTAATTTTACATATTTCAGGCTAATTGGTTCCACATATTATCTTTAAGACTTAAAAGTAAATGAACGATCAAACGGAGAAAGACCAAGCAATTTGAAGTTTTTAACGATTTTTCATTGCAGTTCTTGCGTCTTAGACAACCTTAGAAAAAATAAAAAAAGCTAGGTCCTCGTCATTACCAAATAAAAAATATCACTGAATTACAATTCCATCAAAAGCCGATTAGAGAAATCAATGCTAAAACAACAAGTCTTCTTAGAAAAAAAACTCAAAAGTAATGTATTTTATCATTTAAAAGGTGCTTTGACACTCAAGTAAAAAGGCAACTGACAAATGCCACAAAATAGCTGAGCAAAGAAAATTTATTAGACCTGGTTCAAGAAAAGCAGCCAATTACAAAACATTTGAAACTGTTATTTTTCACAGCACTTTGCAATAACGCATTCAAATGTTAGTAGACCGTTCTGTTTTTTTAAAAACCCTCTCAAATTTTGCCGCTTTTTTAGAAGTCGTGCACACTGCTGTACATTACTACATTTCTTCAAAAGTAATAACAAATTGCTGCAGCAGAAAAAATACTTTCAAAAGTTTTGTAGTACTGTCTAAATTTCCATTTGAATAAAAATTAAAATCTCCAAAAACCTATCAATCAAAAAGATTGGGAAATTATTAACACTAGCCTTCACTAAAACCAAAAGCAAAATGTCTCAAGTTTTTCACCAACAATTAATTAGGAATTCGCAGTTGTAGCATACAATTTCATTTCAACCTGCTTGATCTTTCTTAATCTCAAAACCCATTTCTTCAATTCTTCAAAGCCTTGTTAAAAAAAAGTATGCTAAAAAAAATTTGGAGCACCGAGCAACGGAAGCTACCAAAAAACCTTTGTCTGTCCAATAATGCCCTCACCCTGCTACCACTTCTCATCATTAATTCTTACTTTTACCTTAAACTTCTGCATTTCACTACTCACTATTCTCAGAACTTTAAAACCGTGCGCAAACCAGGCGTACCTGCCTAAGTTCAATTAAAAAATATTCAGTAAATCTCTTGATAAAAATCAAATTTGGCACAACCAGACAAAAACGTTTCAGTATTTTTGCTGATCGGTGTCAGTTTAGTATTTATTGATAGTAAAAGTCGTTCCACCAAATACTTACACGTTTTTGTTACCTCCAACCTAGAAAATTTCTTTCAAGAGGAAATATGAAAACTCTCAATAAAATCTTTTTCATTTGTTTCCGAGAGGATAACTGTGTTTTAAAAAGTAGCTTTGCTCTTCAAAGCCCTCCGTGAGGAACCACCACGTAAATTAGTTTTAAAAAGCAAGAATTGTATGTCTTCTAAAAAATTATATGTAAAACTTCCTCCAAAATTTACTTTCTTTCTACTTTCTGGGATTATCTTAGATAAAGTCACCGTTCGTGAACTGTTAAATCCAATGTCGAGAAAGCAAAACTACTACCAAAAACGACAAAACCTCTCCACGAGCAACGATAAAAATTACTTCATGTTTAGTAGTAAAAATATCAGACGCTTATAGATACTCCTCACAAGAAAGAATAAGCTGGAGCGGTTAACGTTAGTGAACAACCAATTAGAAAATGCCAGTGAGCTAGAGCTCGCTACCAACGATTAGAAATTCATCGTACCTAGCCTTACTTGCTACACTTCCAGCCTGCTAAGAAACTGCTGCCATCCTGAACTCTGCAAATCGTTCAAAGCCGTTAGCGACCTACCACTTTTTGAGGCGCCTACCAGCATGACTTACACAGCCTCAAGAAAAAGTACTGTAAATTGTCACCTTCCTTCCAGGAAACTCTCAAAAATTTCTTTTGTTCTGCACAAATTACGCACTGTCAAATCGTTCAGCATCCTAACGCTGATAGCACCAGGTGCTCCGACATGCGACAGAACAGTCAAAAAATGCCCAGACTCTGCAGCAACCGCCTAAACTCTTTAACCTCAACAAAGCAGAAAAATAGTAATCTGGAATCAAAGTTGCTCGACCTGAAACACTGCACAACTGGGAAGCTTCAAACAACTTAATAAGAAACTCTTGACAAAACTTCACATTTGAAACGCATTAAGACATTACGTCTAGCCAATGAAGAGCCGTTACTAAAAGTACCAGACACCTAAATAAAAAACAAAATAAATAAATAAAAAAAAAAAAAA